TATGGAAACAAACAAGCTTGGGTGGGGGAACCAACAGACAAATCGACTTCGCGCCACCTTCGACTGGCAGTTCAACTTTTTATGGCTTGTGTTCGTCATTTTTCCAGGTTAGGTTGCGTACGTGTACAAATATTGATGTTTGAAAGTGTTGAGTTCGATTGTTTTCACTGGAATTTTGGTATTGGCACCTTTAATATATCTGGTATGATACCTACCATCCCCTCCCCAGGTCTCAGATGGATCAGACAATTCTGATGATGAAGAAAATATGATCTTGAGGATGATTGTTGAGATAACTACAAAGCAGAACGGTAAGTTAGAGAGAAACTCAAGATACGGCTTTATGATGAAAATGTTTGTGCTTTCAGGAAACGATGAAGTGAATAATGATTACGATGATTATGATGAAGAGGATAAAATGACATTGCAATAGCTACAGAATGAGATGTCTCAAATTAGAGATCATATCTCAGGTAAGTTATAAAACATTCTCTTGTGGTACCTACTTCGTGATATCACTATTTTTTCCAGAATTTGCCTACGACAATAGGACAAATAATGATGCTGAGCCGGCTTTGATGAAAAGGAAAACTCTAAATATTCAATTTAGTTGAACGAACGAAGATTATCACATGACATAATCATGATCCAGAGGTTTTGACCCCCTTGAGAGTATTTTTCAAACTAATTTATTTAGTACCCAAAAGAACCGAACGTGCATAAACACTAGGTCACTGGATGGTATTAGTAAATAAGAGTTCGGAAACAGCTGAACTTCTGTCCTTTTCTATTTTCTGAATTACAATGCTTGAGTGAATAAAAGAATGAGACATATGAATGGAATTGTAATATGACAGGATAGACTCATATGGATATACTTATAGAGGAGAGGATATACTTATAGCTAGTTCGGTCGATATTGAAAACGTCATTCAAGATAAGAATGTCTAATCGCTATTTTGTAGAGTTTCAAAAAATGGAATGAGAAAGTGTCTTCTGTTTTCCTATATCTCTTTAAATAACGCCAGAAAAAATAAAAACGATTCTCCTGAAAAACATCCTTATCTAGGATTGTCAATATGAAACGGCTTGGCCGATTTGTACAAACGAAGCGGTGTTGGATAGCGAATCGAAAGGTCTTCAAAACAAGGCACCGCGTGACCCCTCCTTTATATTTGAAACAAAAAGTTGATGGTGCCCAAGGCTATTCAACTCTATAAGGTTGCCTCATATTGACCTGCCCTGACGTCACTGTTTCCCCATCGTCTTTTGTCGTACGGCAAAATGAAAATGGCGGAGGTGAAAAACAAAACAAACAAATTTAGCATTGTGCAATCAAGTGAATATTGATAAATTTTGAAGTTTTCCAATATGTTTTTGTGTCCAAGAGATTGTTCACTGTTTTCCCAAAACATGCAGCAAGTACAAAAGACTGAAGACAGAAATCTAGAAAGATATGTTCCTCAGTGCTCCTGTTGTACAGACACATTACAGAAACTCAGTCAAATTCTTATTGCAATACCACTCCATTAGGACTGATTACTGTTGGCATTAATAAGGATATGGAGGTTGAACTACTGATGAAGCATTTTTTAATGAAGAATATGTTATTGGGAAGTCTGAACCTAATGATGAAATCATGGTGGATAAGGGCATGCTGACAAGGGACGTGAAGAAATATCTTGAAATTGATTAGGCCATCATTTCTGAGAAACAAGAAACAATTAACTAAAGAGGATTTCCTTCTGGATAAATTGAATGATTCTAACTCACTGGTTTTATTTCAGTATCAATTTGGAACATATTATTGTTTGAAAATGCAATAATAAGAAAATGAATTAATAAAGAAGTCATCACAATTCATTCCATTTTATTAATACAATAAAAGTGCAACATAATGGAAATATCTTTGAGCTATCTTCCTCATAACATTAACACAAAATGTATCACAAAAAAACTGGAATCTTTATGTAAGTTTTGGAGGAAGAAGAATCATACAAGAAAATTAGTTTCTTTCAAGTTCATTAGGGACATTTTAGGGCCATTATTCCCAACTGAATTTATCCATAATAAGTGTGTCTCTCTTCCAACTTCACATTTTTTATACCATCTCCTATCAAGAAATGGCATTGTTCCACAAAATTTTCTGAACCTTTACCTAAAATTTTGAGAAAATAAGTCAAGCTGAATTTAATACACATTATTTAACAAACCTCTATGTAAGGACCTCAGTAAGGACACTTATTTCAATTATTTCCATGGTCTTCCTTCCTGAAAAATAATTTCATATTGAGAAAATGCTAACCATGGAAAATATTGGGACACAAATTTGTTTGCATGATTTGAAATTCAATATCATTTTCAATGAACATTTTGAAAGAGCTTTGGATTCATATTCAACTCCATGCTGAACAAATTTATTTGAAAAATCCTTTGGAAAGAAGAAGTTGATTGCCTTATTTCCCAAGACTCCTTGCTACATGTAAAAATGAAGTAGCAAGTATAAGTAAAATTTAATAAACTCACCAGTGTTCCTGAGTACCATGCAATAGCTAGTTGTTTACATTGAGTTCATTGGCTTCCAAACAAAAAACAAAATAGACTGATATACCCTGTAAAATTAACTTCAATTATATAAAGGAAGAATGATTTTAGGGGGTCACTTTCCTTCTTTTAATAAGCAGGTAGCAGAACTATTGAAATGGTTTGGCTGTATAATAGATCATTGATTGATCTACTCTCTTTTTTCAATTTTCACCACTTCTGTTTGTTATATATGCAGCTTCACATATTCCAAGTCTTCATTCCTGAAATTTCATGTATTTTTACCTGTGTGTGTGATAGATCAAAAGTACACCTTCCTACCTGTCAATATAAGTCCCTATAAAATGTGTATACAAAACCGTGACATGCCTGCTTCACAGGGACATTCACATTGCCACAGCTCATCATTTTCCTTTGGAATTATCTGAATCTCATGTGGAGGCTGCCAAACAGGCATTTCATAACATTTGTTTGTTCTATATCCACTCTTGACTCCACACAATAATATTATGATATTTATGATGTGACCAGCCTTGAATAATACTACACCATATTATTATACAACCTCTCACACTCTTTCAAAGATATCTTCAGTCTTCTTGTCACCCTGTTTTCAACTAATGTCTAAAATTCGTGATTTTTTCGAATTCAAATTCAAAATTTTTTTCAATTCATTTGACAGTGACACAAAAGAAAACTACAATCACGTGGTGGGGAAACACTGACGTCACGGCCCTCCGCGCACCCCCGCACCATAATGCTATACTATGAGGTAACCTTATAGAAGTTAATAGACCTTGGATGGTGCCCACTTAACAGTAGGTCACGTGACCACAACCATTTTCATGCCAAATAGTAGTGAAAGAGGTACCATTTTGCCTGAATTTCATCCGACCTCGCTAAATTGTTCCGTTCAAAGGTTAAAGGAGGGGTGGGGGGACGACGAATGTATAATGCTACTAATGAATGTGACAGAGAATGAAGTTTATATATTGCAAAGTCACACCCATTGAGCATATGAGAACTTCGAACGCAAAAATATCTTCGTTATCGTTTGAAATAACCCTATCAAACCTGGTATCATTGAATTCGTCATGATAATCCCTAACCGATTATGGAATGAACTATAGGGTGTCCCATTTAAATTTCTAAAACTGGGGTCGTTACCGGTGAAACCAGAAGTGAACAGAAATTGCTTTTTTCAAAAAATAAGCTATTTGGTATACGCAAACCCATCTATTTTCAAAATCAGATCTCGAATGATTCAGAAGATACAGCTCTGGCCGTTTTTTGTGCACATCTCTCTATGGCACCACACACAGAACCTCTTGAAAATGAGTTTAGGAGGAGGATCCCTCCAATTTGGGATACATTTTCATTTCGTCAGCACATAATAATATTGAATTGAATTTAAAGCAAGAAGATACGTCATTAACAAATAAATTGAACAGTAAAGGTGCTAAATGAGCCCCTTGAGGAACTCCCGAAGTGATTGAAATTTCATCTGACAAGGAGGTTCCGGTTATTTTGATATGGTAATATCGTATGTCACAATGAAATTTTTCGCATATTTTTCACTTCACGGTCAATTCCGGTTTCACAAGAAAATGGTTCTGGTATAAATTTTTAAATGGAACACCCTAAATATTGTAGCATTTTTTATTCCTGTGACAATTCTGGATGAGATAATGACATTTATTGAAGTTTTTACAGCTACTCAATTTTGTTTAGTCATTTTCAATATTGCATCTAGGTAGCCATGATCGGACGTGAACGTATCTAAGGGCCTCTGGTGATGTCAGAAAATTATTATAGCAGAGTTCTAGTGACTAGTATGATAGATGGGAAGACAAGATGACAAAATTACATTTTCATGTCTAACTATTATTTGGTGCGAGACTTTGGATAGACATTACAAGTCATACATTGTATCCTTATATCTACCAATAATATTCACATTCATTGTATTTCATTGTAAATACATTGACTTCTGGAAGTCTTATTAACTACGCAACGATACGCCATGAATTACTTCTGTAATGGGTTTAAGAAAATTATTAAACAACAAGTATAAAAAATTTGAACAGAGGGGTACAGTTTCATATTTTCGAACTTGGTTAACACCTCTTCACCCCGAATCATGTAACACTTTTTTTAAATGAATCACCCTCTATTTTGCATGTTTAAATTCTCTAGGATGTGTACATTTCAAAAATGTATCATGTCTGAAACTGCGAAATATTTGTAATGTGTTCATTTTACAATGCCACTATTGTGAAATAAGGCAAAATCCAAGAAATAAATGTTATCAAACTGGGAATTAATGCTTTTTCTGGAAATGATCATTTTGAAAGTTATTCAGGGTAGTTCATTTCAAATTCGAATAAATTATTCAACAGTTGAATCATTTGATTATGTATATGAAAATCTACTGGCTCATATAAACTATCTCTTACTATTCTTCACATAAATTCCAGTGCTTGGTTCCTCAGTCACCAAACATGGCCAAAATGGGTATGATCCAATTTTTGCCCACGCTATACTGCCAACTTTAAACCTTAAGACATTTCCTGAAAAAAAAAAAGAATACACAATCTACATAAACTACAAGTTTGGTACCGGGTGACATGTTGAAAAGTACAAAACCCCTAAAATTCTTTCATTATGTACCTACAGTAAAAAAAAAATTATAAATATCCTCACAGGAAATTTTTTCCTCCTAGAATCAACAGATATAATCTCCCACTCAATAAATTTATCTTTTGTATTTCTTAAAAAAATTTGCTTCAAAAACTAACAGTTTGATCGATTTTGATTAATTTTCGAGTGTAGTCCATGACAATGATGATGAAATGGTGTAAGTAGGTTAATTTTTGATAGAGTTCAATAAAATTCTGATAATTGAGTTTCTATTTTCATTTCAAAGAGAATTTGGTTAGATACATCTATTAGAATAAGATGTAACAAGTACCTTATACTACGATTTTCAACTGTTTATTGTCGTCAAAACAAAAGCGCATCAGGGCAATCACCATTTTAATTATAAACATCTCAGATATAGTAACATACCTGAATTTGCAATCATTGTAGTTGCGTTTTTTTTTGTGATTCTGGTGTAGGAATTGTGTAGGATCGAATAAAACTGCAAATAATGAAAAATGACATTGATGTGATGACAACGGTATGTGACAGCCGCATACAATCATCAATGAAAAACATCGAATTTTTGAATCATTGGATTGACGATACATATTGAATAATAATAATATGTCACTTTTGTGATTTTTTCTTTCACAAATTTCATCCACAGCAATTTCCATATAATTTTTTTTTCAAATGAGTCGCGTTTTTTAGAAAAAATTAATAGCTTCTGAACCATCAACAATTTGATTACCACATATACTGTTAATTTAATTGCAAATGACCCCCCCCCCCCCCTACCACCCCACTTCTTTTGGTCCATGACTTATGGGACACCCTGTATAATATGAAATATTTTAATTAATACACACCTCTGATGTCTTTGACTGCATCTGGATCAAGTATTCTCACTTTATTGGAGAATCTTAGAGATGTTTCAATACTTCTGCACCCCTTTAGTTCTTCTATATTGTCAACATCAGTGAGGACCTGATCAAGGGAAGATCTTCTATGTTTTGATCTTTGTGTTGGAGTGGCATCTTTAAGATCATTCCTTTTCATTTTGTCACCTAGACTGGTTTTGCTTCGAAGTATGAGTTTGTGAGAACTTTTGTCAAATGTGGGCTCAACTATCATGTCATCTTCACATTCAGTGTCATATTCGCAATTTTCTGCAATTTCACCTTCCTGATCACTTTGTGCTGTCTCTGTTATTCCCTTCAAGTTAGTCTTATCTTTCATATCTTCATCATCCATGTCTATTCTTTTCAACAGATTTGGACATTCATTATTCAAATAGTGTTCTAGATTACTCTTATATTTAATGTCATCATCATCATCATCCATATTTATCATTCTTCTTAATTGATTTGGACATTCATTTTCTATATGGTTTTCAGTGATGTCTGATGTTGGTATGGAGTTGTCTTCAATTCCCTGGTGATTTTCTTTTTGAGCCAAATCTTTTTCTCCCATATAATCTCTGCTTGAATTATTCTTATCTCCAATTTCAATTTCTTTTTCATCTCCATTTCCTACTATGAAGTTACTGGTTTTCATGTTGGTGTTGAAATAACTTTTTTCATTGAAGTTATTAACAAGTGAATTGTAACATGGGTATGAAATTTCTTGGCCAACATTATTATTCTCTTTACCATTTATTTTCTTCACTGTAGTATCTTTAGTACCATTTTTAACATTCAAATAGTTCTGACTGGAAACTATTTTGTAATTACATGTCTCCAACATTTCTAGATCTTGTGTCTGCTCATTATGCATTCTGGATGTATCTGCTACTTTCTTGTTTCTTATATCTTCAACTCTTTTTTCTTGTGGGACACTGACTGGATTATTTGGCCTCTCATCTTGTGTTCTAAAGTTTTTGTCAGTACTCCTTTCACTGTCATGTACTTCTTTCCAACAATATGAGGTTCCCTTTTCAATTGTTTCTGATGTTTCTAAAATTTTTTTCTCACATTCAATGGTGTCTATGTTTTTCTTATTACTTTGAACTTCTACTTTAATATGTCCTCCCTCATTTTCTTCTTGTACTGATTTTCCCTGGATACTCCTATTGGTTTCTTCCTTTTCTATGGCATAATCTGGCATTGCTGATTGATTCACCTCAATTTGTTTAGGGTTATCTTGTTCTTTATCAGTCTCTAATATTTCTCTACAACCAAGGCTCCCATGATTTTCTTGTGTTTTATTTATGTCTGATGAATCCACTGAAGTTTCAGAACTTAGTACAGATGTGTCTGTCAGAGCTTCAATTGAATCTTCAAACTTCTGGGATACCTCATGATCTTCAGGTGCTGGTTTTTTGCCTATGGATTTGCTTCTTGAAAGTTTGTAATTCTTTAGTGATCTGCAACGTTTTTTGACAAGGTCTGCAATTGTGTTTTGTGAATTGAAAAGAGATTTCAAAGATATTTCTGTAAGAGAAATACCTTCTTCTGCACCACTGAGGGAAACATTTGCTTGTTCATCAGATGTGGTAGAATCATTCTTATACAATATTTTATTTTCCCCGGAATCTACAGGTATAATTTTTCTAGGTCTACCACGAGGTCTACCACTAGGTCTACTACTAGGTCTAACAGGTCTACCACGAGGTCTACCAGGAGGTCTACCAGTAGGTCTACCAGTAGGTCTACCACGAGGTCTACCACTAGGTATCCCATGACTTCTCCTGTGTGTTTCAGTAACATGATTCATGGTGGATAATATTTCACTTTCTACTGATTTCTTGAAGTTCTCAGGATTTTTTGTTCTAGAAAATTCATTATCAGGAGATTTTGTATCACCACTGGAAAAAACCAATAATTCATTGTTGATTACAAACTGTGTTGAGGAGATGTCTTTCATATTTGTGTCTTCATCTCTCTTAATTTTTGCATAGAATTCTTCTGTATTTCTGGTCCTTCTTGTAGATAATATAGAACTTTCATTCATCAGATATTCATCAAGATGTGATTCATTTTTTCTACAATATTTTCCATCTTTTGTCCTATAAATTGTTTTGCTGGATGACTTACTGGTACATAAATTAGTTTCAATATTTGTTTTTTTTTCTAGTTCATATATTGTTTGGGCTGCCCTTGTAATATTAGTAGAACTCAATTTTGATTCATCCGATTTTTCATTTTTTTTATTATCAAGGGAATATTGTTTTTTAAGAGGTATTTTATCTTCAACTACAAGTTTATTTTGTCTGGAACTTTTCCTCACACATTTTGTATCTGCAGGAACATGATTGTTAATATCATTTTCAACATGAGATGATGATTTGATGCCAGAAGAAATCAGACCCTTTTGAACTTTTTGAAATGAATTTTCAGAATCTGCTGTAGATATAGGATTCTCAATAGTTGGAATTTGTTTTCTTGGTCTACCTCTGCCTCTTTTTTGTTTTGTTGATAATGTTGATTTCTCAGTTGGTATTGGTTTCAGGGTTCTATTTTCAACATTTTCAAATGATGATTCAATTTGATCAAATTTATAATCTATGTCTGCTTGAGAATTATCAATAACTGTTTCTTGTTTCCTTTCACAAGAGTTTACTGAGTTTTCAGGAAAATCAGTTTTGTGAATTGTGATATGTGACTCATTATTTGAATTATTCATTTCAGAAACATTGAGATGTGACTTCTCATCAACTATGTTTTGTTCTCCACTCAGTAGTGTCTGAAGAATACTTTCACTTGTCTGTAATTTGATGGAAGCTTCATCAATTTCATCAATTATCATCTTAGAATTCAATCTAGTTTGCTTGGTTGTTTTCAAATAAGCTTGTATGTCTACTGTTGAATTTTCTTTTCTTAATTTGTCAAGGATTTTCTCATTTACTGTTATTGCCTCAACTCCATGTGATAAACTATGTTTCTTCTTCAATAAATCTTGGCACAGTTTCATATGATTCTTTGAAAGTCCATTTTTATTTAATTCAGTGTGATTCACAAATTCTTGGAACATCTCACATGAATTAGAAACTTGATCTTCATTACTTTGAGGTTTGGTGCTTTCTATACTATCTTTGGTATCATAATTTACTTTGACACTAATAATGGTATCCAGAGATGAGTTATCATCAAAAATTTGAGGATGTGGACCAGGTTTACTTGCTATTCCTAAACATTCTAGATTTCTTATAGATTGAATCCAGGTCTCAGAAATGTTACAATGTTTAGATGGGCTTGAAGAAACAAGTTCAGTGTATGAATTATCATCTGAATGTATTTTATCTGGAACATTATAGGAACGCAAACTCTTTCTAGTAGAGTTGATTTTGGTCATTCCAGTGTCTGAATGAAGTGAATCTTTCACAGCCAAGGATGCATCAATTGGGGATAGAACCACTTTGAGTTGTGGTAGGCTTTTGCTCAGAAGTTTTTCTTTTATTCCATCATTCTTCATTCCATTACTAACATTATCCTGACTGACAGATAACCATTTCTTTGTTGATGATCTGGAATTTTGTTTGGGTGGTAGGTTGATACAGATGTTTTCTTGAAAAATGTCTAGGCATGATTTTGACCTCAAAACTCTTCTAGGGGATTCAAAAGGTTCCTCAAGTTTGAATTCCATTCCTATATCAAGACTTCTTAGGAGCTTTTTGCTCTGTGAACTATATTGACCATTTTTCTTGTGTGAAATAATATCTACCTCTTTATCAGTACCATCTGCTCCTTTAGTTGAGTCAGATTTTGACGTTTCTTCATTATTAGGATGAATCTTGTCAACAGATTTGAATTTGTTTAATTTGTTTGGTTTCTTATTTTTAATAGGTGACACTGAACTTGGCCTGATTCTGGATGTATTGAATATCTCAACTTCTTCATTTTCATGATCAAGGCTATTATAATGAACAAGATTGGTTTTACTTCTTTTACTGCCAACAGTTTTACTAGATTCCACCTGATCATATATTTTCTCATTCAACACCTTCCTCAAACTACTTTTCAGAAAATCAATATTCACACTTCTATCCTTCTTTGGCCCATGGCTTGATCTTACTCTTGGGGTAGAGGTGAAAACATACTCATGTTCCTCTAAATCATGATCTCTCAAGTTATCTGAGAATGTTTCAAATATGTGCAATTTCTGTGGATGTTCTTTGAATCTGATTTCCTCCAAATTTGATAATAAATGTTCTCCACTAATGTTGGGGAACTCCCAAGGTTCATGACTCAATTCAACATCCAATAATGTAATTTCACTTGCATCAATACTTTCAATGTCTATTGTAGAAGTCAGCATCTCATTCTGAGATACTATTGGATTATCTGGTAAACCAAAACTTTCAATCACCTGAGAATTTGAAGAAGAGTTCATTTGCTTGCAATAGGTTTTTAAAACTGACCTTCCAGATTTCAAATCACTTTGCTCCAATGTATTTGGTTTGGATAATATTTTGAAAACTTTTGTAACATCTTCTGGCTGCAAAATACTTTTTTCAGGAAAAGTATAACTGGAATCCATTTTAGAAATATTTTTCTTGAATTTTGGCTCTTCATGTACACTAGTGTTATGGACTGGATCAACAGTTTGTTTACAATCACCACATTTTGCATCCTTATGACTATCATCAAAATGATGGCCTATATCTAATGGATCTGAAGCAATTTGTTTGATCTTTTCAATATTCACTTGGCTCCTCAGATTAGACAGCTTGTTACTACTACTAGTAGGACTTGTAGTATCATCAGAAATAACATTGCGTGAACGGGTACTCCTTCTACTACTTATTGCTTGTACATCCGATTTTGAATGATGCAAATCAGTGCTTGACTTCATGTTCTACTGCTTTTCTTTACTTTTCCTTCATTTCCAAATTCCAACTCTGAAAATTTGTGGTTTCTGAAAGGAATGTATGATTAATATGCTTCCAACTACAATCCTTCATCAAATTAATCCTAATTTTTAAATAGTAATGATTAATGATAAAATGTAGGTATGAAATTTTTGGAAAGCAAAGAATTTCCTAGACTATTAAATTAGAATAACATTATTTTCATCGATATAATTCAATATCTCACAAATAAAAATCAACTAGAATGAATATTCATATAATTAAAATTAAAGTACATACATATATAATAATCCTTTTCAAAAACATCCAAATAGTTTTTTAAGCTAAGCATTTCTTCAAAAATGTTCAGTACACTTTTGTGAAGCTGACAGTGTGACAGTTGTTATGAAGTATGAGGTATGAGGTATTAAATGAAGTTGAAGTATGAAATGAATGAAGTATTAAATTTTAAAATTGTAAAACGAATTCAATCTTACCCAAAAATTTATTTTATTCGTCTGAGCCCTGAGCCCAAAACCAATATTCTTTGCCAAAACGGTCCATAGACCAATAATTGGAATTTCACAAATGGAATTTCAGATCAATCTGAGAGCTGTTTTTTCATGTTGAACCGTGTTCAAGATTAGTTTTGAACCGTTTTCAAGCGTGACGTAGTGATTTATCTCATTCAAGAAAACAGACTATTTCGAAATTGAAGCTGTCATAAGTCAGATACATAACACATAACCTGAAAACCGAAATCAATGATTGAATTTTAAAATGGATGATTATCTGTGAGAACTTGAGAAGTGTAAAAGAATGGAATCACTAATAGTGTATTTTTTAATTGATAATCAGCAGATGAGGCACGGTGTTTGTCTTTCACAAATGTTGAACCAGTCCAGAGAAATAGATAATAATCTGGAAATGATTATTCTTCTCGAAAATTTCCAGCATCTTAAAGTGGAAAATTATGCACCATACCCTCATCACACTCCATTTTTTAGGCTATATAGTCAATTGCTCGAAAATAATATTTATAACCTAAAACTTCGACGTTTTCCCACTCCTCCTGGTTCGAACACGGTTCGAACCGTTCATTTAGAAGCTTTTGAACCGCAATGAACCGTATTACTTGGTGACGTCATAACTTGCTCAGGAAAATGCTTGATTTCAAATCGGTTTGAACACGGTTCAACAAGAAAAAACAACTCTGGAGTGCGAACTCCATTGGTAATGAAGGCTAAATATCTAGACTGTCTGACGGGTTATACCCTAGTTATACCCAAGGTTGGTAGAACTGATGACTATTTTGTTCTACCAACCTTGGTTATACCCATATAATCTACTACTCATATATGAAGCATAGCTCTCCTCAAAGCGGGACCAATGACGGCTAAATATCTGGACCAACTTCTGTCTCTGATAAAAGATAAAAGAGATCGAATCATCGGAGTATTTTAACAAAGAATAGTAGGTTAGTCACCTTTTAATTCTTTATTATTCTTTCTAATTCACCGATAGTTGAAATGGATGGGTGATTTTGATATCCTACCAAATGTCACAGGTTTGATGAAAGGTAATGAATGGCTTCTTTGTAGCCGTGAGACAGTATTTATTCAATCACATACACGATGTTATAATGATTTAACAATGATTTTTGATATTTTCTGTGATAACTTCGAGAATTAACACAATCAAATAGCAGGAATAAAATGTATGCAAACACACAAAATTGTGACAGCGCCCTCAATTAAACATAGATAAACAACAAATATTTTTTCTTTCGGATTCGAAATGAAAGAACCTGAGGTTATAACCTAGTTATGTTATAACCATATACGTATTAATAAACAATAGGTCGCGTGCACGAAGACCGACCCTGGAGGCAAAATATTGAAACACAACCTCATTCTTCTGTGAATTATTGAAACACAACCTCACTTTTTTATTTGGTTACAGAGGAATCAAAAGGTTGAAATAGTTTTTCACAATATTTTGGCATACGACTCGTGTTTCTTGCGTTATTCATTAATTCAAGCATGCCTTCGCATTGGGCTATTGTACAATGCACAAAAAATGCAGCAAGAGACTAGGGAATATGATTTTTCAGGTAATCTCACATAGTTAGCATTATGAAATGTTGTCATTCCTTATTAAAATTCCTTCTGCCTTCTGCCACTTCTGTAATACAAGCTAATGCTGCTAATACATTGAAAATGTCTACAACACACACGATCGTCAGCATATCAGACCAGTCCTACCGATTGATTGCATGAATCCAATCTTCTTGCATTTTTCTAGAAATTTCAGGTATATTTCTATTAGCTGATCCTATTGCAGAAGGAATTCCGATGAGAAATCAGAGAAATATCCAAATTAAAAATGAAAACTATGTGAGTGCTATAGTAGGTACTTACTTTTGAATCATAATGTACCATCCGGATTTCTTCATCTTCCGCTGCAGTTTTTGTGCATTTTACAACAGCACAATGTAATGGCATTAGCGAATTGATGAATAGCGGAAAAATACGATTCATATGCCAAAATAATTGTGGAAAACTATTTCGATCACTTGTAAACAAATATGTTTTGCCTCCAGGGTCGGTCATCTGACAGTTCTTGCACGCGACCTATTGATTATTAATACGTATATGGTTATAACAAGGTAAGGTAAACTGGGTAAAGTGAAATCTGAATAAGTTGGCAACACTGCGTTATGAACTTTGTGCGATTTCATTTGTGCGCAAGATCAGTGAATTAGTTGATTGGTTGGGTTGTGCGATGAAAGTCATATTTCAAAATAGCGGGAGAATTATACCATTTTCAAAATGAGATTTTTATATCAAACGACTTGTATTAGATGAAAGGAAGATGCCTCCTGCTCGGATGTCTCGCAAGAAACAGACAAAGAATTACTGTAATGCAGTATGTGGCGGTTTGTTAGATAAAATATTTGCAAATAATGGAAACAGATGTGGAGACGTGTAGCACCATCTGAGGTAAGTAAGAAAACTGTCGTGTTTTCTTATCTTTGAGTATGATAATTGTTATCTCTCTTTGTATGATTCTGTAGCGTAGATAATAAATTAGTCATGAATATATATTATCTATTTATCGATCCCTGATGCTTCTATAAACTTACATCGGTATACTTTTCTGGGGTACCTATAATTTTTACATATAAAAAGATATTGTACTATATATTAATTGTAGGAATCGTAAAAATTCCAGTTGTACTTTGGTAAAGAGCTATAAAGTTATTGAAAACAGCGCTGAGAATATAGCATAAATAAACAATAGAGGTACCTGGTATATTATATATATATGTATGCACATATATATGGTACTTACAAAAATGTGGAGGAAGAAGAAAGACAATAATGTTGATAATAAAACACAAATTAACCAAGGGTAAGTGATATATATTTTTGTAATATTCCTCTATTAATAGGTTTATATTAGTTTTAGAAAATTGGATTCATATATATATATATGTGCAGCATTTTTTCTTTTGTTCCCATATAATGCATTCATCTAAAATCTGAGATACCTCTAAATTTACATTTTTGTTAATCTGAGCTTAACTTTTGTTAAGTTGAGGATTTTACAATGATCAATAATAGATTCACGAGAATGAGAATAAGACCATCATAAATTTAAAATAAATAATTTACTTATTACCAAAAGGGATTCTGAAGTGACCTACCTATATATTTTATTCTGATTCTGATAGATTATAGGTTTTTTTATTTTGCATTTTTTTTGTAGTCCAGGCCTGTTGCAGGCATCTTTATCATTATTTTGAGGTAATCAAATATCTGTCAGTCTAATTCTCTCATTCGATTTTATAAAATTGCGAATTTAGTGGTTGTGTATAGTAAATTTACAGCACGTAACCGCGAAGTCGAATGGAAGATAAAAGGACTTTATTCACGACTAATATATTATACTTGTGGTTTTTGAAGTATAATGCCATATATTAATCCCGCAGGGAATAAAGACTATTAATCCCTCGCCATTATTCCCTGCGGGATTAATATATGGCATTATACTTCAAAAACCACAAGTATATATATTAGTCGCAAATAAAGTAGAGTATACTACTCGCAATAATGGCTATTATTCTCTCGGAATGTTACTCCCTCGCCGCTAACGCGGCTCGGTTCGTAAAAAATCCTCGAGAATAATAGCTATCATTATTGACTCGTGGTATAATCTACTATTATTCACGACTAATATATTATACTTGTGGTTTTTGAAGTATAATGCCATATATTAATCCCGCAGGGAATAAAGACTATTAATCCCTCGCCATTATTCCCTGCGGGATTAATATATGGCATTATACTTCAAAAACCACAAGTTTATATATTAGTCGCAAATAAAGTAGAGTATACTACTCGCAATAATGGCTATTATTCTCTCGGAATGTTACTCCCTCGCCGCTAACGCGGCTCGATTCGTAAAAAATCCTCGAGAATAATAGCTATCATTATTGACTCGTGGTATAATCTACTATTAAGATATTCTTTCTCAGATACGGTGATATTGGCTTATTTTTCGGAACAATAGCACAACAAAAGCAATCAACAGTGTATATACAGTGTGTGCGATTTCAACCCGCAACACACCCGCTTCTGATTCGGAACCCGTCGACCGATTTTCAGAAACGAAAATTCTATAATATGCTATACTCAACGAGCTCTAATCGAAAATGTGGACAAATTTGAAATATTCAGATTTTCAAGGCCTACTTTTGTTTGTTGAAGAGGTCAAAATTGCAACAACGACTATTAGGCAATTTTTATTTTCATTTTGGAAAATCTATTCTCTATAACACAAAAAATTGTTGACCACCTGTGGACCTCCTCTGCCTACAAATCAATCCCTTCAAAATTCTCGAATTGTACATGGGGTCAAATTACAGTCAAGATGAGGAGAAGATACATCAGATTTGGGAATGGGAGAAAAATTGCGCGAGTGAAGGACCAACTAAATTACTCTCTAAATTCCTGATATGATTTTTCGTTTTTGAGTGATTTCCAATAAACTGGATTTCCGGATTTTCATTATTTGCGTTAAAAATGAAGTTATGACAAAACAGGAAAAAAAATGTTCATGGCAAATTTTTTATCCTATATTCAATTTGGCATCAACGATTTTCAGAGCCAACGTTTCGTGTTCGTTCAACCATCATCAAATGGAAAAGGAAAGACCCATATATGTTATCATATATCATTGAACTCGTTTTTCTCAGCTCTATCCAAGGACGAAATGAAATTTAGGGTATTGCATTTGAAAAAAACGTATGTTTGGTATGTCAAAGACATATTATATGGATAATTTTTTTTCTATCTGTTATATAATAATCTATTCTAGTTTACCATGTTATGTGGGATACACTGTACCCTGTACCTACAATTATTATCAATAATTTGGATGAAAATTTAAATACATTCAACACCTTTCGAATGCTCTCTTGCGGATAATGCTCAACCTGATTAGAAAAAAAAAATTGACCGTTGTATAGAGATTTGACATACCTCTCTAACAAGGTGTATCTTTACTCCTTGTTCAAATTGAAATTTTTCCAGGGGTAGATCTGTGGAGCAGGAGGTTGACAGGTGGATGAAAAATTATACAAAATAAAAATAGATCTTCAAATATTAAAATCGACTTGTCCGAGGATTTTTTCGAATAAATTTTTGTTATACGAATTTTTCCCTCATTGGTTTCCACACTAAATAATACATCCATTAAACTTTTCACTATATTCTAGGGAATCAAGTAGAACTTCTACTGTCCTAATAACTACATCAGGCAATATCACTGAATATACGTAAGTGTTGAACATACCAAATGTATGAATGCATTAATTTTGTTTGTAAATGTCACTACCTATTGGTAGTTATCATATATACAGTGTGTTACAATTTGGACCTACCCACCCCTGTATACTTTCCAGTGGCGGTTCCTCAGAGGAGGCAACGGAGGCTGAGCCTCCTCAGAGATTTTCCTCAAACTAATATTATCTATACTTTCTCATTAGGAGGACACCAAAATACATGGATTTCGATTTTATTTCCTGCTTTTAGTTGAATATTTTTGAATTGGCAACAGTGCTTGCCCACGCATCACACGTTGAAGTCTGCAAATCACGCGTAAAATATTCAACTTGGCAACATCTATAGGAAGCTAGACTCCTTCACAATGCGCAACCTACGCGCGCAATGCAAATTTCCAATACGCCCGAATAGCACGTGTTTGTCGTGTCGCTTCGCGAATTGCGGACAAACGCGAGTGCATTGTTTATGTTTATGTTAGGTTAATGGTTGGGGGCTCTATAAATTTCTGAAAAATGAGTGTTTTAAACGATTTAGTGGAATACTTTTTGGTGAACCCATTCAGTGCTTTGTCTTATGAAGATAAATTGATTGTGAAAAACAAACGGCCGACACCGGAATTAAAAAATCTGATTGTAACAGGTAACAAACAAAATCGTTCGTTCAATTCTGATAATTATAAAAAATATATCTGGTTGACGGGATCTGAGGTAAAGGAATAAGCTATTTTGTTGGTACTGCGTATTATTTTCAACCGATAAGTCATCATGTTAGGGCGATTAGGACATAATGATTTGAAAAATTTGCCTCGCGGATTGGATAGACACTGCAAATCACAGGAACACATCTCTTCAAGTATTAAGTTCAGGTTAACTGGTAAACAGAATGTCATTAAAGCTATTGATTTGGGTGAGTAGAGAGTTGTTATTCACAATAAATCTCATATCATTCAGCCTCCTCTGTCATGAAAGTCACGAGCCGCCACTGGTACTTTCCTATTCCTATTTCTAGGACGGTTCAAGAATTTTTTTTCTCATAATATAGTACTCAAAATTATCTACTTTGTCGAGCAGAAAAATGATCAATCACATAATTTCTTAGCCTACTACGATCACAAAAACTCCAGCAAATTTGAAGAACACGGATCAGGCATTTTTTCAAAAATTTCAAAACAATCTCTTATAGGGGGTGTTTTTATTAACGTTACAAGTTTTGAATAATTGCATTTCAAGTCACCGTGTATAATAATTCTTCTATGAATTTGAATAATACAAGACATGATATGGTAGTCAGGATTAGATAATCTGGTTACAGAGTCAGAAACTCAAGCCAAAAAATAGAGAAGAGTTGCGACGGAGAATAATAACGGTTTGCAGAGATACCACCAGAAGAACTGAGGAGAGTTGAAAATAACGTGCGAAATATTATATATTGAAAATATTATGAGAAGTGTATATATATATATAGAGCATAAAGGAGATTTGATCGAGAATACAAAAACCTGAACTTGTTAGGGTTGCTGTTTTAGTTCTTTTCCTTATCTTTTGATGTCATTTTCAGATTGGTGTTGTTAAGTTTTTTCTTGATGAAAAATTCAAATTCCTAGTGATTTTAATCACTATTTATCTCACTCTGTAGACAGATGATCTAATCCTGACTACAATCACAGCACAGATTAACAAACCTTTCAGTGCTCTGTGATCATGCCTGGTATCATTGTCTGCTAAATATGGAGGAAAAATCTAGTGAGCTGGAATTACTGGTCTTTCCTATACCTCAGTTGAGTGTATGACCACTAGAGGATGTTACCGTATCGGGTAAATGTTCTTCACTTTTTTGTAGAAAATTTTCGAAATTTGTGGTTATGTAAGTTGTCACGAGTTGTCAGTGTCAAGAGCTGTCGTGTCAAATTACCATTCTTTTTCAATTCTCATTTTTCTAATATTCCTTTCGTTTATCGATATAATTTTGTGTTGTGCTCCCAGTATTATAGTAGTTTATTCTGATTGATAATGTGTAACAAACTCTGTCTCCTCTTATTATGCCTACCAGAAAGTGTGAAACCATCTCCATTCATGGATTTTCAAGTTATATTTCTTTGCGACATAAGTGGATACTTTCGATATTGAATAAGCTCACTAGATTTTTTCTCCATATTTAGCAGACAATGCCTCGTAGGTATATCATTCATATTCTCATGAGAATTGCACACGGTGACTTGAAGAATGCAATTATTTAAAAATTGTAACGTTGATAAAGAACACCCCTTATGAGATATTGTTTTGAAAATTGATACAGGAGTATTTGTGACTAGTCCAAACCGATTGCCATTATCAAAATTTTCGTTAAAAAATGCCTAACTCGTTTTCTTTAATTTTGCTGGAGTTCTTGTGAAATTGTTTGATAATTTTTTTGCTCGACAAGGTAGATAATTTCTGAGAAAAAAATGTTCAAATCGCCCTATAGGAATAGGAAAGTACAGAGCTGAGGTGGGCTAAATTTCAACACACTGTATACATATTATAGGTATTTTAACAGATACATATTGTATAATTTCAGTACCAAGCAATCATCATATTCAAGCACAAGTAAAGTAACTACGACCTCAGTTTCTTCTATAACAAGAAATGAAAAGATAGGTAAGGCTATATTTGGAACGTAGAATGTATAGGTATACCGTGCTTTCACGTTTACTCCCTACATAGGACATTACTCGTGCGATATCGTTTTTTGATGGAAGGGAGAAAGCGAGCCGTGCCGCTTATGGAAGCGAAAGCACTCCTACGTAACTGCTAACCCCGAGCACGACCGAATACTTTCCCAGCGAGCACAAACATCCCTGGGATGTTTCGAAAATGTTGGCATGAAGATGTTATTTTGAGACGTAATATGCACTGACCAAAGAGGTCTTTGAAGGATATTGAAGTATTGTTTTTGTTCTTCTGTGGCATTTCTTTGTTTGCCTACTGAGAGGTAGGTATCCCTGGGATGTTTTGGGATGTTTTAGAAATGTAGGCATGAGGATGTTCTTTGAGGCGTAATATGCACTTCCCAAAGAGGTCTTAGAAGGATATTGAAAGTATTGTTTTTGTTCTTTTGTGCCCTTTCTTTGTTTGCCCCACCACAACGTCTCATGCTTACGTCACAATACGATGAATTCTGATTTGTTTTCGATTTTGTTCTTCTTGTTCGCAATTGGCATTCGCGTTTGCAGCGTGTCACGCTTACATCACGCTGCTAACGTACAGAAAGGAATTTGGTGAAGTTTATTGTGTTAGAAGACTATTTAGTTTATAATAATGACCATCAGATGCGAGATGTGTCGTTCGGTGCCTCAGTGTAATCAATATATAAAAGTACGAATTCATCAATACACAGCTTCTCCGCAGTTGCAAAATTATGCATTGTGGAGAACATTTCAAAAATTGGGAAACCTATTTCCAATTATATGTCTGTATGTAGTAAGCACTACTCAGAAACCGATTAAGAAGGTAATTTCATATCAAGAAAATATTTTTATGTTCAATCTATTTTTAATGCATTTTTTGAAAATGTTCTGTTGTGTCCATGAAAGGGCTTTAGAAAGAACTAGGGAGAAGGTAGTTTTGTGACATATCAAGGACATCTCGATAATTGCCGCCTGCGGCGGACATTGGCTGTTCTATAATAGTTCTATTCATGTGTGAACAGAACATCGCAGTGGAGGTTCAATGTCTCGAAATCTCGTACTTTTAACATCTCTGAGATGTTTTTGTGCTCGCTGGGTTACCTCTGTAGTGTTTCCCAATGAAAGCACTATACTGTATATATATCTAAATAACACCGAAAAAATTCAAGGGGTGATTCCTTGTGACATTCTTGCGAATAAAGTTCATGTAAACATGTTCCGTTTTGAGATACAGGATGTTGAAGTTGGAAGTATCATTTATAACCTCCCTGTATAAAAGCTTTCATGGTGCCAAAATTCAGTATAGTTGGAGACTGAGAAAGCCCTAAGATTTCAAAATGATTGTTATTGGGGTTATTGAGTCATCTCAATGGAAGTCTCGTAAACACCTTATAGTAAAATTTGGAGTCAAATCGAATTTTTATTATTTCCTAAAAAAATAAGCTGGATACTGAAACCACACAAAGGATAAAAAAGTTGTTATTTCAATAGTGCAATCTGATAAAAATATGAAACTCAAAAAAACCCGTGGCGTACAATGACATTCACCATGAATATCGATCCCACTGTGACGCCACTGGAATCTGAATGCATCAGAAGAAGCTCCATATTACTATTAACAAAACCACAACCATATTGGTGGACGATGCCACAACGTTTTATTGAAATTTATGGAAAGACAATTGAATAATAAATAAAAAACGATTTTTCATGGAAATATTGATGCCCTGTATCTCGGAAACGAAGCAAGTTAGGACACATGTTCATATCAACTTTATTTCCTAAAATATCACAAGGAATCGTCCTTTGAATTTTTTCTGTATATACCTACCGACTACAAACGTCTACCTATACCATTTCCATCTGTGACTCTCTGAATTTCCGCGCGCACATGACTTCTTTGACAACACGCAATATCTGCGAAATCGAGATGAATTATTCTTTTTCTGCAACCGACAAAAAAGTCGTCCATTTTGATACCAAAATTAGCTCTTAAATTTACGTTTCTATTACTGACACAAAAATAGGTATGTTGCTAGGCAATATATTTAGTTCCTAGGAGCTAAAGTTGAACTTTAGCTCCTAGGAACTAAAGTTGAACTTTAGCTTCTAGGAACTAAAGAGGATCTACTGGACGTCATCAAGAATAAACAACATTGTGACGGTTGGTTATTTGGGTTGAGACGCATACCTGATTTGTTTCCGATTTCAGCAGATTTGGCATTTCATACCCATGCTGGAGATATAAATATACCTCATTATAGTTTAGTATTGGAATCATAAACATCTCAGTTGAGTATTTTTGTTTTGATCAGGGAAGCCTTCAAGATTCAAATATTGCTTGATCTGTATTTCATTCGTTATTCTCGGGATGGATAACTTGTTTTTTAATAATCACGGCAAGCAATAGTTTTTATGTCTCAAACAACGATATTGTTTAGCTTCATTTGATTATCAAGTCAAACACAGTGTAGTATGGAGAGGAATAAATAATCACTATTATCATTGTTGATATGCTCACTAACCTAACATTTTCCACGTCTTGTTCCTATAGCTGGCACTGGCGCGGTATTTGCCATTAGAGCACCTGGTCCATATACGAATACGTCATTCTGTGGTTGTATTTATATTGAAACTACAATTCGAACATCCTAGAAAACCTAACCTGCTGTTAATGCAGGTAGAATATTCTCACCACATGGATTATTTGTCAATATTTGTTGCACTGCAAACATATGGCACGACACTTGTGGTTACTTCACTTGTTTATTTGAGTTAATTGTTTCGGTTGCAGAAAAAATAGCATGTTTCATTCGGATCAAGACTGACTTTGTTCGACTCGCAAATTTTGCTTTCGCTCGGCTTCGCTAAACGCTCCGCCTCGCAAATGCAAAATTCGCTTGTCAAACAAAGTGTTACTTTTGATCCTAATAAAACAATCTACTTTTCTTGAAATTTTCAAGTAGGCAATATTTTGCCAAGCCTGCGGTTCGGGTTCAATTCCTGTGAGGGTCAACTTCTTTAATTATGTTCTCTCAAGTAATTTTCCGAAAAATATATACTTTCTAGATCACCCAATCAGCACCAGACATCTTAAAGACGTACATTTTACGACTTACTTACGTCTTTACGTCCAGGGACGTATAAAGTACGTCTTTAAGACGTACATTTTAGGTTGTAAATGCATTTAGGTCGAGTAAGGATATATTGTTTTGAAAAAGTAGTCTCCTAGCTCTTTATGCAGAACGGATTTTTTTTTCATTATGTCTTCGGATTTCAGAGAGCCACAGATGAAATATATTATATGTTTAGCTATAGGCGATTACCTCTGTATGTTTTATGTCGTACCACGAAGTTGGTTAAATTAGACAAAAGTTCGTTATTTCAAATAAAATAATTTGATTCAGGTGCGTACCTATTCGAAAAAATAGAGTTGGGGTAGCCCCCAAAGAAAGCAACGTCGTATTAAAAATCAAAGCACAGCACATCGAAGCAAATTTGAAACACAGAAGAAATTCTATATTTTATATATAGAATTCCTACAAATGGAGACATCAGAGTACAAAGAAAATCTCAACTCATCCATTGCGGTCTTGCCCGTGTATCGCGTTTCATTGTTTACTTATATAAGCTGCTCTGGCCTAATGTAATCGACGAATAATTTACCCTTTTTATGATGCCCCTATAGTGGTACGACATAAGAAAAATACGGCCTGTATGTACATACACAGGGTGTCCCGAATTTACATAGAGATTTTTAACTGCAGATTCTAGAAACCAAAGTAACGAAAACAGTTTATATAAACATGGGTCCAGAAATATATGGCCCCTTATGAGGTCATAGCCGTCTATACAGACGAGCCCGAGATGCAAGTTTTTCAATAGCTATTTATACCGGGTGACACAGGAGACATGTATAGCAGCCTGTAGTTTTTTTATTTGAAGAGATAAAATTTTGAAATTCACAGGGGGTATATAATAAACAGTAGTGCACTTTACGAACTTAACGACAATTTTTTTCAACCACCTGTTTGACCGGAAGTGACCCCAACTTTTTTTTTAATGTCACCCTGTACATTTCTTCAGTCTATCTTTTTCGCCTTGGAATTCTCTATCCAACCATGTATCACAAAGTGGCATTTATTTCTTAATTCGCTGTTGAATTGCTTTTCATTCAAAAAGAATAAGTTGGCTGTGACATGAATTCGATGATATATCGACACTTGCGGGTAGGCTTTGAAATTTAAAGATCATTAGTAAACCGATATTATTCAAAATGTTTTGATATTCTGATCAATGTCTGCAGGTTGTCAATAGCTTGTTTGAGTCAAGATGAAAACCTTCGAATATAACTCATGATTGAGGAATCTAAAATAGGAACATATTTTTTCGAATTCAGCTACTCGAACAGATACACCCTGTACATGTATACTACTATGGAATGGCACCAATAAAAAAATGGGGATCAAAATAAAATTTGGGGTAAGACCCCTTTTTACACCCAAAGTTCTACACTGTAACAATTCTGACGTCACCAATATGAGTGTGATCGAGAATTTTCGATATTGCGCCGTCCCACCCATTGAGCATATGGAAACTTCGAATGTAAATATCTTCGTATTCGTTCGAAATAACCCTATCAAACCCGGTATCGCTGAATTCGTTAAAAATATAAATTTGTGGTCTCAAATGGTATACTTTACCATTTATAATCCATAAAATCATCAACTACTTTTCTGTTTCCAATTTTTATGGATAAAGGAGTTTTGATAAAGTGCATTTCCCAATGAATCACCCTGTATAATCTTTTTTTACTATTTTTGTTCCTATGGAATCTGCAGTTAAAATATTCCTATATAATTTCAGTATACCCTGTATATGAACAAACCTACCTACTATACTATTTTTTTACAAGTTCCGACTAGTGTGCTGAGAAATCCTGATACTGCTAATAGAAATCAAGAAGTATCAATTCAAAAATTGGCACCGAAAAAGAGTTTGACATCGAATGGTTCTATATCAAGAACATCCTTAGAGAGAGATGCTAAGCCATATATATCCCATATTCCAACAGAAAGTCCAGGTGGATATAGAAGTACATTCAATAGACATCAACTTCAACCATTCCAAAGCAATCAAGAACTTACAAGTACTTCATTTTCGAGAAATACATTCCCGAATCAGTCTCGTGCAAGAAGTTTGGATGACACTGAAGTTCCTACATACAGTACAAGTGGTAAAAGAAGAGGCAAAGTTTTGATTATAAATAATGTGAATTTTCTGGATGACAAAAGTGATCGAGCAGGTGCCTTGAAAGATGATGAAAGTGTTTCAGATTTGTTCAAAAGTATGGGATTTGAAGTTAAAGTGCACAGAAATTTGAAAAAACAGGTACATAACCTATATTCTTGAATTCATTTGGTAGGTTATACACCTCTATTTCTACATCCTATAATTGAATAGTAGGGAAGCCCAAGCGGGGATTTCGGGATTTAATAATAATAATAATAAACGTCTTTATTTGATTTAATGTTTATACAAACATTTGGCAGAGCGAAGTTTAGCCATCATGGCTACTCTTACACCTAACCCTGCACATTTATAATACATAATACATAAACTTAACATACTTTAATCACTAAGTGCAGATGACTTGCAATTATTCAATTTTCTATAATGAATGAATGTAAATAAATATAGTTTAATTTCAATGGATTTACTGGAGCGCGGCAGATTAACATAAGGGATCCTTGGACCTTGTGAAGTACTCATACCATACCTGGGCCCTTTATATGGTGTCGAAAGTTTAGGGCAGCCGATCAGATTAGTAAAAAAATCGATCGTCAGAAATACTCGAGCGCCTCAGATTAAGACACGGTACGTTGAGTACAGTGTGTCCAGTTTTCGATGCTTTTGCGTGATATCTCAGTTATCTTTCGAGATAGAACCTTGCGGTTTTCGCGGTCCTGTGCCACTTTTTTGTTAAACTCAAGATGGCCTAATCAGATTTTGCATAACTGTCTCCGTTTATGAGATACAGGGCGATTTTGAAAATTTATACTTTTTGGACTCCCTCCATATCTACGAAGTTTCTCAGCTGAAATTTTCAACTGAAATCTCATCCCATAGAGAATTTTACGTAGAATCCAGTGGTGCACTCAAGTTTGTTTTTTTCGGGGTATGGCTTTGGAGATACGACTCAAGCTAATGATTTTTCAAATGAAAGCCTGTATTTCATAAGCTCATTAAATTCCCTTTTTTTTTTCCACAAGAATGAAATATTATATATGAATATAAAACTTTCAAGAATGCTCGAAAATCACTAAAACATTGAATTTTAATAGTGGATTTTTCATGTAAAAAAGTTTCAATTGAAGGAATATTTCTTCTGATTCTTCCATAAAGAGGACAAAAACAATACCAAAACACGAATATTAGATACCGGATAGCAACAAATAAATAGTAATAAAAAGTTCATAATGAAGTACCTAATTTTTGTGTTTTCTTCTTAGTGAATTAGTGTTGGTATTGTTTTTGTCCTCTTATATAAAAAATCCATAGCCCACTATTAAAATTCAATGTTTTAGTGATTTTGGAGCATTTTTGAAAATCTTATATTTATACATTATATTATATCATTTGAAGAGAAAAAAATGAGGAATTCAATGAGCTTGTAAGATACAGGGTGTTCCGTTTGAAAAATCATAAGTTTGAGTCGTATCTTCAAAACCATACACCGACAAAAAATGTTGAGTGCGCCACTGGATTCTGCGTAAAATTCTCTATGGAATGAGATCATGATTTGACATTTTCGCTGAGAAACTTCGTAGATATAGAAGGGGTCCAAAAAGTATGAATTTTCAAAATCGCCCTGTACCTCATAAACGGAAACAATTATGCAAAATTTGGCCATCTTGAGTTTCACAAAAAAGTGGCCAGGACCGCAAAAACTGCAAGGTTCTATCTCCAAAGATAACTGAGATATCACGCAAAAGATCGAAAACTGGACACACTGTACTTAACGTACCGTATCTTAATCTGATGCGCTCGAGTATTTCTATGCGACTGTTTTTTTTACATTCTTGAACACCTGTACATGCTCTCTCCACCAGTAAAATGTCATATATCACGTAAACTTTATTTCATTTTCGCATCTAATCTTCACAATCTGATACGTCCCCACGACGCTCGAGTAAATCCCTATTTAGCCTCTTTGACTCCCCTACTATAAAGTACTCGTTAGGAACTTCAAAAGGATGTGTCCATTCAATTTTTTTTTCCTCAGATGGCGCCCAGTCGACATCTTGAAATTTTCATCTGACAATTTTACTCCAAAATATAGTATTCTTGCATACTTCATTATCCCAAGTTTCAATTTTTTGAGTTCACCCGTTCAAAAAAGAAACAGGGGAGGACATTGAAGAAAAGCACTGCATGTTCATCATTGACAAGATGAACTCACTCATTCAATTCAAATTCAAAATTTATCCACCAATAATCTGAATCTAAGTAGTAAATAAATCAGAGAACCACTAAAGGGAAACCCTTGAAAGTGGTAATTATCATTATTATATATACAGAGTGGGCCTTTGAAAACGAAACAGAGGCTCTGTAGGTCGCCAAAACCGGATTATCAAAAAAACTGAAACAGGTCAACTACATTTTCGAGGGGGACATCTTTCTAAAATATTTTCAGCCCTGCGGCGTTGCCGCTTCTAAAGAAAAGAAGCAACAACATTGTTATTTCAAATGGAACACCTTGTATTTTATTGCATTTTTAGATTCTCCCTGAAGAGCTGATTTCATCAATGCATCACACTTAGGGTCTAGCTGTAATGGTTTCAGGGATATAAAGTGTTCAAAATCGAGATTTTTCAACTTTAACATTTTTTTGTGTCGAAACTATTCATTATTGGTCAAAACGGCTCACATGTCCCGATCTCAACTTGTGATTTACTATCTACTGACATTCATTTGAAACAAATACAGGGTGGTTCAAGATTCAGAATTCTGATCACCCTGTATCTGTTCCAATTAAATGTCAGTAGATAGTAAATCACAAGTTGAGATAGGGACATGAGAGCCGTTTCGACCAATAATGAATAGGTCACAAAGAGAGAACTAGTTGTGGTAATGACTTTGAGTTTCTCTCTTTGTGACCAATGCATTCCACTTTGAGTATTTGGCTTTTTCCCTAGTTGAATAATGAATAGTTTCGACACAAAAAAATGTCAAAGTTGAAAAATCTCGATTTTGAACACTTTATATCCCTGAAACCATTACAGCTAGACCCCAAGTGTGATTCATTGATGAAATCAGCTCTTCGGGGAGAATCTAAAAATGCAATGAAATACAAGGTGTTCCATTTGAAATAACAAAGTTGTTGCTTCTTTTCGTTAGCAGCGGCAACGCCGCAGGGCTGAAAATATTGTAGGACGATGTCCCCCTCGAAAACGTAGTTGACATGTTTCAGATTCTTTTCATAATCCGGTTTTGGCGACCTACAGAGCCTCTGTTTCGTTTTCAAAGGCCCACTCTGTATAATATATATTAATATCACTGTTGTAAATAACTATATATATACTTAAATGGTACATCATGAATTATTGATTAAATACCTATGAGAAAAATGAATTCTCCTCTCCAATAAAGTATCGCTGATGAGACAGCAATTAACAATCAATAGCGGCAAATTATTACTTATTATATATTATATTATATTTTATATATCTATTCTTATTCCAAAATGAATTTGCTTATAAAAACATTATCAACCACGACTTTCCAACACACATAACCTCGAATATATCTATCCACCTTTACTGATACAAATATTATTATTCATTTTCATGAAAGAGATCTGCTATTTTCAAGTTAGCGAATCATTTCGTTGTCAACCTCGAAAGATGTCAAACAGCGCTTTATCAAAAAACTCGTTTGTCTTTAGAACGGCAAAGCTCTATATGGAAATCATTGCTTAAGGAAGTATTCCCAAGAACTTAACATCCAAAAGTTAAAAAATGCAATATCTACCTTCTCTCCCTATTTTTCCTATAGGTATGCACTATGTTCTTAGAACATTATAGGGATTCATTTTTGTGCGCTCCTAGCGATAAAAGAAATAGTTATAACTATTGATCGTATTTCCTATAGTTATTGATGTATTCATTGTATTCAAATTATTACTTAATCACATTTATTGTGGAGTATATGAATATCCTTTTCAGATAATGATTGAAAAGATAAAGAAGTTCAGATCTGACAGAGACTTAGCAAAAGTTGACATATCGGTAGTTATGCTTATGAGTCACGGAAATAACATAAAGGGCCAAATGGTAATGCCAGGAGGCTACACCGAAATATCTGGTACTGATGGAAAAGGGCTCTCAATAGACGAAGTACTGGATGAATTTGATACCAAAAATTGTCCTGGCATGGAAGGAAAACCGAAATTATTTTTTTTCCAGTGTTGCAGGTATGAATTTGACCCATCCTGGAATCATTTTACATAATACGGTGCTAAATTATGGAATTAACTCGATAATTTCGGTATGCCCGGGGTCTTCAATAACACATCCAACACGTTAATTTTGAAATTTGAAGATAGAACGTTACCAGTGACGCATATCTGTAAATAGTAAAACTTCTGCGAATATATCATTTTTTATATTAATTTTGACATCTGAGAATTTTGCACCGAATTGTATTTTGCTTGGTGGTGAAATTGAATATAATTTTTTCTGTGACGGGAAAAAATTTTGACATTTCATCTCCGTTGACTGGTTACAAAATGTCACTTTTCATAATTCAATTTTTTTCCTATGGGAAAAAAGTCAGTACTTTTCTTCGGGTTATACAAGGTGTCCCAGACCAACGTATGTACATACCATCGATGAGCCGTGGAGAACAATTTCATTTACAAATTTTCTTCAATATTTCGAAATCGTTGTAAGGTACTGCTCTGAAATTCGTGGAGCAATTTACCATAGTGACAACATACAGGGAGTTCGGTATTTCGCATTCTCTTCGCATTTGCAGTTTTTTTATATTGTTCCTTTTTTTTTCTAGATAAAAACACAAAAATCATTTTGACACTTCTCCATACTACTCGTTCATAATGTTAGAATTATCATGTTTTGCTCATTTCTATACCTCATTTGTGTTGAGTTATCGACCACAATAATCATGTTCACCAATTCGCAAGCTCTTCATCATGGATTTTGATAGAGCCTGATCTGACTGATGTGTACTTGTGATCTATTCTAAACCGTGGGACTTGGTGTTAATTTGTATGAAAGAATCCGAACCCTGAGCAGGGTTAGTCAAGGCTGGTTATTATTCGGAATAATATGGATTCTACAAATTTAACAGATAGCCTACGTAGTCAATATGATGTGGAAGCTGGTCATTTCCAAATTTCAGTTCAGGATTTCTGGTACAAAAACTTTGTTCGAGATAAAATAATCAAATTCGAAGATGACCAACATTATCATTATGCTGAAGTAGTTCATAAACATAATCATTGTGGTCAATAATTCAACACAAATGAGGTAAAAACTTGCAAAACATGATAATCGTATTGAAAAGGAATATTCTCAGATAAATTATGAACATGAAAAAGTGGACATTACAGGGTGGGCCACCAGTAACGCCTCGGTGTCTAGAAGGCTAACCACTTATCTTCTTGGAATTCTTCCTCTCTAGGAAGTTGCATGTCAACATAAGCTACCATTTAAAATTATTTCGAAACATATAGGGTGTCCCCAAAAACCATAAAACACTGAAGTTAAACTTTTTTCTATCGAACACCCTATATATTATTTCATTTTGAGATTCTCCCTGATGAGCTGATTTCAACGACCCATCATACTTGGGGTCTAGCAGTTATAATTACTGAAATATAGGGTGTGAAAAATCGAGATTTTCCAAGTTCAAGAATTTTTTGTGTCGAAACTTCATAATTGGTCAAAACGGCTTACATGTCCCCATCTCAACTTTTGATTAACTATCTACTGATATTTAATTGGGACATATACCGGGTGATCAAGATTCTGAATTCTGCACCACCCTGAATTTGTTTCAATTAAATGTCAGTAGATAGTTGATCAAAAGTTGAGATTGGGACATGTGAGCCGTTTTGACCAATTATGAATGGTTTAGACCTTAGATCATACAGGATCCTGTATGATCTAAGGTTTAGACACAAAAAATTCTCGAACTTGGAAAATCTCGATTTCTCACACCCTATATCTCAGTAATTATAACTGCTAGACCCCAAGAATGATGGATTGTTGAAATCAGCTCACCAGGGAGAATCTCAAAATGAAATAATATATATAGGATGTTCGATTGAAAAAAGTTCAACTTCAGTGTTTTGTGATTTTTGGGGACATCCTGTATGTTTCAAAATAATTTCAAATGGAAACCTATGTTGACATGCAACTTCCTAGAGAGGAAGAATTCCAAGAAGATAAGTGGTTAGCCTTCTAGAGACCGAGGCGTTACTGGTGGCCCACCCTGTATACAGGGTGTCCGCTAAAAGGAGGTAAATCCATTAACCATATATTCCTTGAACAGAAACAGTATGAGTTTCTAAATAACATTTTTCATTTTAGCCCTTCATATTCGATACACAGGGTGTCAAAATTGGAAATTAAAAACTGATTTTTTCAATTACTCGCTCATTTAATGAGATATCAATCTAAAAATTGGTACATTACTTTAGCACAAAAAGATACATCGTGTGAGGAAAACAAAACAGAAAATATCTGTCAAATATTCAAAATACTGGGGGTCAAGTACACACTTACTCCCATATTTTTTTTGTACGTGCGCTAATGACTTCCTATCTATTTTTCTTGAAGTGTTTAATCATTTTTGAGTATTTTTTGTCTCTTGTGAAATTTCGATAAAATTGTGTTTTTAAGATAATTCGAAAAGTACTGGTTATTGTTCGAAACCTTGTTCACATACTCCTATTTATTTCGTCGAAATTGGAAGAGGGCGTAACTTTTTACGTACGAAAAGGTAGACATGGAAATACCGGGTGCTCAGAGCGAATGTATTAAAATAATTTTGCAAAAAAAAAATTATAGAAATTCAACACGTCTAAATGAATTGCTCGATATGACCTCCAATTTTTTGAATACACATGCGCGCCCTTTTAATTGAAGAAAATCTTAGCCTTTGAAAAATATGTGGCTTATACACAAAATCTTTCATACATCCCCAGACAATCCTGATCTGCTATTTCTTTCATCAAGTAGCTATTCAAATCATGGATATCATAATTTCACCTAAAATTTCCGAAAATATTTTTCTTCCAAGCTGGGGGGGGAGCACTTCAGGTTGAAGCCACATATTTTTCAAAGCCTGAGATTGGAGGTCATATCGAGCAATTCATTTAGACGTGTTGAATGTCTATAAATTTTTTTTTTTCGTAAAAATTATTTTAATACATTCGCTCTGAGCACCCGGTATTTCTATATTTACTTTTTCGTACGTAAAAAGTTTTTGCTTTTTTTATCGCTTGGAGCGCACGAGAGGGAATCCCTATAATGTTCAAAGAACATCGTGCGTTCCTAAGGAGGATAGGGATAGGAGGTAGGTATTGGAATTTTTTTTGAACTTCTGGAGATTATATGTTGTTGGGAATACTTCCTCAGGCAATGAATTCCAGAGCACAGCCGTTCTATGGATGAAGGAGTTTTGATAAAGTGCTGTTAGGCATCTCTCGAGGTTGACAACGAAGGGATATGCTGACTGGGCTTGTCTAGTTCGTATGACTGGTATTGCTAGTGAAGGGATGATAGCAGAGATTTCCGAAGAACATTTCCCGTGGAAGTATCGATAGAAAAGTGAAAGGTCGCCGACCTTTCTACGGTGTTCCAATGATGTCAAAGAGCGAGTGAGTGTGGCGTCACCCACCAGGCGGATGGCTCTTCTCTGGATGGAATCTAAGAGCATCAGCATATGTTTCGGTGCTGAACCCCATATGTGGGAACAGTATTCTAGAACAGGCCGTATCTGCGCTTTGTAGATCATGAGGAGCTGTTGAGGTGTAAAGTAGCATTTCGCACGGAACAAGAATCCGAGTTTTTGTGAAGCAGCTTTTGCGATGGATCTGACATGATTATCCCATGAAAGAGTGTTGCTGATGGAAATACCGAGCATAGATATGGTGGGCTTGGTAGGGATGGTGGTGCCAGACATTACAATGTCGGGCATACTGAGTTCCGCCTTTCTAGAGAAAATACAGGCTTGAGTTTTGGTGGCATTGAATTCAAATAGGTTGTTGGTTCCCCAGGCTGTGATTTCAGCAAGGTCTTCATTGACAGCATTGACCTGCCTGCGCCGTGAGTCCTTATAGTTTCCTGGGAAGAAATAGGAATTCTGGAAGAGAACGCAGTATGGAGGGTACTATCATCTGCAAAGCTGTGGATGGGGCAACTTGTTACTCCCAACAGATCATTGATATGAAGAAGGAATAATGTTGGTGCCAAAATTGATCCTTGTGGAACGCCGGAATTGATGCCAATTGTATCAGACGATACACCGTCCACCACCACATGAAGCGATCTGCCTGAAAGAAAACTCGATAAGAGATGACATAGCTGTGGTGGTAAGCCGTATGATGGTAGTTTGTGGAGGAATCCTTCGTGCCAAACACGGTCAAATGCTTTCGATATGTCCAAAGCGACAGCTAGAGATTCCCCGTGTTTTTCTAATGTAGCTTGCCATAAATGGGTGACGTAGGCAAGTACATCTCCAGTAGATCTTCGGTGGCGAAAGCCGTATTGTCTATCATTGATGATTCCCGAGCTCTCCAGATATTTGATGAGCTCAATGTTGATGGCTTTCTCCATCACTTTGAAGATTACTGATAACAGGGCAATGGGCCTTTAGTTGTTGGGCAGGTTCTTGTTCCCTTTTTTGGGGATTGGTTGGACTCTAGCTGTCTTCCAGCATGATGGAAAAATGCCCGACCTGTACGAGACGGTAAACAACTTGCAGAGAATCGGTGTTAATTCTGGTGCACATTTTTTGAGGATAATGGGTGGAATTCCATCAGGACCGTTAGCCTTATTCGTTTTGAGACCAAGCAAAATTCGTCTGATAGTGCGTTGACGGAAGACGATTTCGGGCATTCGACTCTCAACGGGTGGAATGTCTGGCGGCACTTTTCCTTGGGAATCTAAAGTAGAGTTTGCTGCGAAAATCTCTGCAAAAATATTTGCTTCCTCCTGCGATGTTGTTGCTAATGTGTCGTCGGATTTGGACAATGGTGAAAATGAACTATTAGTGAAATTTCTTCCGACCGCTTTAGCAAGGGACCAAAACGAACGGGAGCCATTGGGACAATCTATGAGTTTCGATCTTATCTTGGCGTTGTATGTTTCTTTCGAAGCATCTATTGTTTGGCTGCAGTTATTTCTGGCATCAACGTATTCTGCTCTAGTCGCGAGGTTAGGGTTTTTGCGCCAGCGATGGTAGGCTGATTGTTTCAAGGCAACAGTTCCAGAACAGTTTTTTTTGAACCAGGGTTTCGATGGTGATGATCTTCTTGAAGAATGAGGTATGTATGTGTCCATTCCGAGCATGATGATCTTGGATATTTCCGCAGCACACTGTGAAGGGCCCTCTTCCAATTTTGACGAAATAAAGAGTAGTATGTGGACATTATGAGATCACCGTAAGCCGCATAGGCATATCAAACAATAACCAGTACTTTTCGAATTATGTTAAAAACAAATAATTTTATCTATATTTTACAGGAGTCAAAAAATACTCAAAAATGATTGAACACTTGAACAAAAATAGATAGGAAGTCATTTGCGCTCGTACAAAAAAAATATGGGGGTAAGTGTGTACTTGATCCCCAGTATTCTGAATATTCGACAGTTATTCTCTGTTTTGTTTTCCTCACACGATGTAACTTTTTGTGCTGAAGTAATGTACCAATTTTGAGATTAATATCTTATTAAATATGCGAGTTATTAAAAAAAAAACAGTTTTAAATTTCCAACTTTGACACCCTGTATATTGAATATGAAGGGCTAAAATGGAAAATGGTATTCAAAAACGCATATTGTTTTTGTTTAAGGAATATATGGTCAATGGATCGACCTCCTTTTAGCGGACACCCTGTATATATGAAGAAATACATTGGGACCGAAATATCAATTCGTTCACGGTTTATTCAACAGAAAACAACTACTTTCCTTTTCTTTCCTGGCTATATGCCACGACGAACATTGAATTATATCTATTGAACACACACGATAAGAATTTGAAAACAAAATCAAAAAGTTGAGAATTTGCATTCTCCCTCAGATGAAAATATGTATATGCACATAACATCATTCTGAATATTGTACAGAAAACAACTACTTTCCTGGCAATTTTCCATGTCGAACAAACAAGGGGTTCAAACTTGAGCGATGGAAACTTGTTATTTCTTATAGACCTTCAATCGCATACTCGTAATTAGGTTTTCTCAATTCAGAATTCCTTCCCACGTACTGTATGATGAATATCAATTTGTCATAGGTAAGTTCACCCTGTAGAATTTATGGTGGGTTCTCAATAAATGAAGGGTTCTCAGGGCACGGGGCCCTTCATTTTTTGAGAACCCATTTTTTCTGAACCTTCGGAATTCTTGGCGCTATGGGCATTGACAGTTCGAGGAATAGTAGCATCATGTAAAAATGTTCAACTCCAAACCTTTCAATTGGGCTGAAGATGGTCTTTCATAAGACCGAAACATGTCCCTCATGACTAAGTAACAATATCATTAAAATTTGTGGAGATGACTTCGAGCATTCCTTCCTTCCTGTGTTACGGTTTTATGTTTCCCTCCGCTACATGTCGAGAGACAACACAACGTCCAGCTGAAATCTACTGCTTTTTTTCCTTGTATAATAAATAACTATTTTTCAGGGGCGATAGATCAGAAAGGATACAAACAGATGCAAAACCCATCAAAGTTGTTAAACAACACGGTGACATGCTAATAGCCCATTCCACTCTGCCAGGTGAGTAAATATTTCAAAAATAATTGATCGAAGTAACGCCATCCCAAATAAGGATGAAGTGACTATAGTAAGTATAGTAAGTACTATTTTTGAATGTTTAGATTCATTAGGTTAAACACCTTCCATTGTGACAAGAGCATTATAGTCGTCCCGCGCATTTTCATTCAAAATTACTTGAATTCGACAATAAATTTTATGAAAGTCAGAATCGAACTATAATTTCATAATCTATAAAAATTGTTCTATAATTGTTCTATCCGTCATTCCGTTGCCCCCTTACGAGCAACCCTCAGAAGTCTTCGAAAGACTTTTGCGAGCAAGGAATGACGGGGGCCTTACCTTTTAACGTGTGATCCCAAACACTTTCTTGGGCCACCAGAAAAATTTCTGCAGTCGATGGGAATCGAACCCATGACCGGCAAGCGAATGCGAATCAGAATATAGACACTCTGTCCGCACGGCTACCTGGCCCTGAAATAGAGAAGCATAACTATAAAACAAATTATATTAAAATTACTATGGGAGGAAGGAAAAGTCTGAGAAAAAAAACTTGAGAAACACCAAAGGAGACCAGATAACTGAGGAATACGTACCTCAACCTTTTAGTTTTTGTATCCACATCTACCTCGTTTATTGTTTGCTTCCACCGAACCTGAAAAATATCGATGAATTATTTTTTCCTTCCAGGTTTTTATTCGCTGAGAGATACTCAAAAGGGAAGTTGGTATATACAGAGTATTTGCAATGTCTTCAAAGACCACGCGAAAAAACATGACGTCGAAACCATGCTGAAAATTGTTGATGAAAATCTCTCGAGGTGCCACCCTCAATACACACAAACAACGAGTTATGAAAGTCGAGGGTTCAAAAGATGCTATCTCAACCCCATCAAATGAGGAACAAAAATAATGTATATAGGCTAATAACATTTTCGTTACACACAGTTGATTGCCTGTCACTTGCCAAACAAGTTTATTGAAAATAGGCCATTGAACATATACAGGGTGTTTCGAAAAAAACCTAAACCCCTTGCTAGGGTAGGTAGAACATTGCAAAATAAGTTGGGTTCGCTCAGTAGAAAAATGTCGTTACGTCATCCGTTTTCAAGATACAATAAGGTGATACAATATGTTTTCACACATTTTTTACGATTATGTTGAAAACTGGCAACATTGTAATGAAATTTTGTATGGATGTTTCTTGGAATCTGACACATCGCATGCATTTGTTTTTATATCTGACTCTCATAGAGGGTGCCAGTTACACGGTTCATATCGAGTAGTTTTGAACAACTTTTTTGAGGTTAGATTTTTCAATCCAAATTTGATGTGAACTTGAACATCATTAAATTTCACACCAAAAAGGTACTCTTGGTAAAACTCGATACTGTCACAGAATACTCAACAATTGAGTATTCTGTGATACTGTGTTCCGTTTTCGGAATATTTTGATTTGAAAATGATGAAATGGTAACTGTTGCTGGTATAAAGCTATGTATTAGAGTGAGTATTATGAAAAATTATCACCTATTTATTGAAAACCGAAAACAACAATACATTTCTGATGCAAAACTCATTGATTTAACAATGAATCACAAGAATAACACCGAAACAGATTTGACTAAGAACATGGATTACACAGTTTTGTTGTATCTTGGGCAGAAAGTCTATGCTACATAGGTAAATTCACGTCAAGAGTTGTGAAACATAATTGAACATCACTTGAATGACCTAATAGCAGATCTTCAACTGTTCAAAAGAATAATACATTCTTAAAAAAAGAATATAGAATCGTGTATTCCTCGAAACGTAGGACATTTTGAACACTTACTCTAACTGATTCAATATTTCACGTTTCTAGTCAAATATCTCTTAATTTTCTACTTATGATTCTTCGTTTCATCAATAACTTCAGCACAAGAATAATTTTATTGTTTTTGAACCTAGATAAACAGGTCTCAATAAAATTTATTTTATACCAGCATCATTACCACTCCACTATTTTCAAATCGAAATATTCCGAAAACGGATCATAGTATCGAGTTTCACCAGGGGTACCTTTTTGGTGGAAAATTGAATGATGTTCAAGTTCATATCATATTTGGAATGAAAAATCTAACCTCAAAAAAGTTATGTTCAAAAGTATTCGGTACGAACCGTTCAACTAGCGCCCTCTATGAGAGTCAGATATAAAAACAAATTCATGCGATATGTCAGATTTCAAGAAACATCCATACAAAATTTCATTACAATGTTGCCAGTAGTTTCGGAACAATCGTGAAAAATGTGTAAAAAAATAATTTTTTCAACACCTTATTGTATCATGGAAACGGATACCGTTACGACATTTTTTCACTGAGCAAACCCAACTTATTTTGCAATGTTCTACCTACCCTGTATATCATTTCGTTATCAGATGACGGTCGAAATTCGCAGCCGGCATTGGCAAATCGACGTTTCGTATTCGAGATGCCACCATCGACTATATATGTTTCTTTAAATGCGGCCCTAGATTTTCTATTATGGATTTTAAGGGCTTTCAAGTTCCCAAAACCAACAGTGTATCGCACTTATTCGGAAAATTCATATTAATGGCATTTTCCATAAGAACGCATGTTTTGAAGATAGAGGATAGATTTATAATATGGACAAAAACCTTTTCTGATGAGTGCGAAACACCATTGATTTCAGGAGATTGAAAGCTCTTTAAATCCATAATAAAAAATACGATTTTATAGAAACAAAGTTAATGATGGCAGCTTAAAGACGAAACGTCAGTTTGAAAATCTGATAACTCCATCTTGTAGAACAGAAATAGTAGCAATTAGAATTTATTTATAAGTTGTTTTGTTTCATCTATCCAAAATAGTCATGAAACAACAAAGATGAAATCGCAAATATTCGTTTTTTTTTCAAAAATCTTTGGAAATATTGGGAATTATTCAAATTTGAAAACGGCATGAAATTGCGCAATTTTGTCATAATTTAACCGACCCTGTATCTCATTACGGTTTACGACATCCCAATGATGAAGCTCGAATTCCAGCCACCCTGTGCATGAATTCAATAAGAAAACTAGGGGGGTGTCCCGTTCTCAAGTGATTCTGACTTTTATTATAATTGAATTTTTTGCTGTTACAAAATCGCATGACTTTGTAGAAACATTTTGTAGCTACTCATTATTTGGAAAACTGTATGTTCAAGACTTGAGAACCTATATATTGCACTAAAGTAACCTTTTTTGTTTGGCAGTTGACACACTAAATAGCCACTGTTCCAGTTACAAGTATCATTCTCCAACTTAATGTAGAATGATGTCTTGCATACCTATAGTTTATTCTTTTCTTTAGTATGATTTTCTTGTGTACCTTTTATGAATAAGATTAGATTTAATAGCATATTATAAGACTCAATGTAAGTAAAAGTGCCTTAAATAAATGAGCTGCCTTCTAGTCAGTAAATGAACAATTTAGTATTTTATCAATACACAGAGTGAACAGAAGTTTTGAAGACTGTGGATGACTAATCAAATACAAAATATACCCAAAATACCACATCAATATTTAGTAAACCTAAATACTTAGGTATTTCGGCAAGTAAGTTGAATACCATCTTCAGTAGAACTGAAAAAGAAATAAAGATTCGTTAATTCTATAGTATCTTTCGAAATATTCTGTAGGAATTACTCTCACTGGTGATTTGAGCTTCGAGGATTGAAAGTCTATGGTTCACCCAGGTTCAACGACTTTCTCTTTTTTATTCGTCGTTTATCATATTTCATATTATAGTAAATTAATCTGCTATATACAGGGCCTATTAGAAGTATCTGGAGAACGAGAAGACAGAACATTCTGAAAATTGGGATGCTTTGATAATTGAACATTCTCTATCCGTCTAAAATATTTTCATCGATACAGTGTTGCCACTTCTATCAGAAACAACTAGCAACTTCGTTATTTTCAAAGGAGCAAAGTTAAGATAGGGACATGTAAGCCGTTTTGATCGATAATGAAGTTTCGACACAAAAAAATCCTAAAATTGAAAAATCTCGATTTCGAACATCTGCAATCATTCCTGTTAGACCCCAAGTGTGATACATTGATGAAATCAGCTCTTCAGGAAGAATCTAAAAATGCAATGAAACACAGGGTGTTCCATTTGAAATAACGGAATTGCTAGTTGTTTCTGATTGAAGTGGCAACACTGTATCAATACAAATATTTCAGGTGGATAAAGAATGTTCAATTATTGAAGCATCTCAATTTTCAGAATGTTCTGTCTTCACGTTCTTCAGATACTTCTATCCCCCGTGGATCACCCTGTATTTACCCCAAAATGGTAAATTATCTCAATCATAATCACAATTTTTTGCACTGAAATCAATGAAATTTCTCGAATTTGTATAAATTTCAAATCATCTAAACATGTTATTATTGTCAGAATGATGTCAGATAACATTCGAACTCCACAGTTCACAATAGAAACCAATAAATATATGATTTGATATCTATTTTTTGAAGAGTATATAACCCAAAATTTGTAGGACCATTTTCATGCTTTCCGAAGTTGACTGAGACAGTTAAACAGGTTAAATTCCAGAACCAAGTTATTCCCAATTTACGTCAGAAATCTTCCTAGTTATATGTTTACACTCGATAATCTACCTGATAAATAGGTATAAATGACCCCACCCCACTCTCGATGGTAACGCCCCACTGCGCATTACAATTAAGGAAGAGGATGTGATGTAGCTATACATATCAAGTGCATCAACAATAAACAATGCTTTTTTGATTATTATTGCTGTTTTATTATATTTTTCATTTTTCTTGTTCTAGGAATATGTACAAAATATTGTTTTAATAATGGTATATATGTCAGACATAATGACCAGCCTTACTGATCAAAATTTATTTGTATACATTATGGTAAAGCACATTTGAATAGCTCTAGTTTTCGACAGTTTGGTCAGTGAAAGAAGAGAGCAGGCCCTTTTGTTATAAAATACAACAAATAAATTTTACAATAACGCAGATCGATCAGATACTAGCACTAAAATAATACTATTGGTGAAGCTAATGGTAATGGTGATGAAGCTAATCTGAGAATTATTCAATCCAACATCTAATGAACAACATTTATCAAATCAATGTTTGATTCCTTCCTTTGAAATAAGTCTGCTCCGATAGTATAATAAATTTGAAACAACCGGAAGTGAATCAATATTTTAGACTAAGGTAAATAAGTCTCTGCAATCAATTTGACCAAGAAACTGTGTGTGATATACTACTATGCCATACAGTGAGATTCCATAACCTGCACCATATGGAAAACATGTTTTCCTGATTTAAGCTAATGCATCGTCTGAAACCCAATATGCAACAATATGCATTTCAAACAAGGCGAACAAATAGTTATTTATGTATCAAGGGCGTAAAGTAGGCGTTTATGGCCTGTGGCGTGAATAATGGCCCGATGGCGCTAGCCGAGGGCCATTACACGCTGAAGGCCATAAACGCATTTCACGCACGAGATACATACAAAATTTTATGCACTAGTGGTTTATTTTCTGACTCATAAGTAATGACTATAGATTTCGATAAACTAATATTCCCCAGAATTTAATTTGTTACGTATAAATTCAGTAATCAAGAGAAGCGTAATATTCATGGATGATTTACATATGAAAATTATCGTACGAATATTGCAATTATCGTAATAGTAAAACTCTTTCAGCTGTAGAAGAGATTCATTCTTCAGAATTTTACAATATGCATACCCAGTATATAAACCTAACTCATTTTGACGTTGTCAATCAATCTGATGGTTGTTGTCTATAGCAATACATCCAATAAACGAGCTGAATTGTCATTCTTTGATTGAAAAGTAAAATTAGT